TTAAAAGTTTGTAATTTTAATATTACGATACAAGATATTAATATAGTATTATTATTGTGTTATACAGTAATTGAATTGATCGGAAAAAAGGTCAAAGGAAGAAGTTCGTACAAAATCAAGAAAAATAAAAAAAGTTAAACCCCCCTATGTAATCTCCAAATAGCAAAATCCCCCATGTGATAAATAAACTAGCAAAAACCCCCCTATGAAATTTAGTCAAAGGCAAACCCACAGGGGTACTTTTTGCAGTTTACTCTTATTTCTATTGTACTTATTAAAATTGCAAACCCACGATAATATTTATAACGATCATTTTTTTAACTCATGAAATTTTAATTGTAAAAAATCACAATCTTAGTGCCAACCCAATAGTCTAAAACAGTAAAATAAGATAACATGGAGTATTTTACCATATTTAACTTTTGTATTTTACCGCTGGTTCAAGTTATGTTGTAAAGATTATAATATAAATTTCAAGTATTGCAATTCGTGAGATTCAAATCAAACCATGTAAAAATCATTATAAGATAAATTTTGTGATTTATTTTGATCATAATATTGATATACAAACTCCAATTTAAATGATTCAAGTTGCATTTGGAAAGCTCATATAAAAATATGTAATCTTTATGTTTAGCAATTCGTTTTGTATATACAATGCTCTAAATTAATGTGCAAATATTTAAGAATATGAGAGTATATTTCCAAGAATGAAATATCTGTAATAAAAAACAGTCATTCAATGCTTAAGAGGGTCTTTAGCTAAGTTTATAAGTTGTTTTAAAATATCTTGTAAAATGTTTAAGAGCTTACAAATTATTTCAAAGTGTTTGATAAGTTTTTTTTCAAAAAGATCTTAAAAACTCAAAAAATAAGTTGTTGGAGAATTTACACGAATTTAAAAATATACTTATACCGCACCTTTTTATTTAAAATATTAAAAACAATATAGGAACTTACATGCTAAATTTTAGAAATAAGACGCAACAGTTTATCATTTCTAAATCTAAGAAACAATATGCAGTTTTGCACAATTCTCCCTTGTAATTTAATAATTCTAATTAATTACCTCCATTTTAAATTTTAATAGAAAAACTGAAAATTACGCATTACATATAAGAAAACTATTAAATGATCATACATAGTCCACATAAATAACTATGCATGATAAATGTAAAATTGGTAAAGGAAAAAGTAATTATATGCATTGAAGCTTTTGTGGGAAAATTTACACTTTTCGTCCTTTATGTTTTAAATAATTCTACTTTTAGTCCTCGTTGTTCCAAAATGAACAAAATTCACATCAAAAATTCAATTTTAAACACTTTTCGTCTACTCCGTCACCTGCATATTCACATCTAACTAGCCAAAATTGAAATAAAAAATTCTTTTGGTGCTGAAAATAATTAGAAATGTTAATTACTTAATAATATTAAGTATAAATATTACTTCCTCCGTTTCTAAATATGTGTCTTTTTTCATTTTTCACAAAGATTAAGAAACTCAATAAATATATCTTAATTTTAGAAAAATTATTTAAAAATGATTAAAACAACCTTTATTATTTAATGATTTATGAGAGAAAAATAATGATTAGGGTTTCATTAATAAGGTTAAAACAGGACAAACGCATTTAATGCAATATTGGAAATCTAAAGTGACAGATAATATGAAACAAAATTATTTTTAAAAGGAGACAGTTATTGTGGAAACGAGGGAGTACTAAATAAATAAACATAAAAGAAAAAAAAAATAAAAAATGGAAGAAAGATAGAAATATTAATTACGATGAAATAATTGGAAACAAACACGGATAGAAAACGTAAATGGCGACCCATCACGTAAGTTTCCCAGTCAACCAATTGGTGCAATAAAAATTTATTACAGAGAACAACCCAACAACTATATATATATATATATATATATATATATATATATATATATATATATATATATATATATATATCACAAAATTAATGAAACAGACTGAAAGCTGTGTAGTGTATATCCAATTACCATTGGCTGGCATATACTCTTCAGCCGTGAAAAGGAATAAATAAGAATACTACAGTACATATATTATCAGTTCCCATCTTTCACATGCTCTTGCAATAAATCTAATTACAACTTGCAAGAGAAATTAAAAATAAAACAAAATATAAAATACAGCTATTATATTTTTGCTGCTCAAGTTGTTGCACTCAAACCATATGACTTATCTGACAAAAACTTCAGCCATGCAAATTATGTATTTTTCACTACAAAATTTTTTCAAGATATTTATTTATTTACTCAAGGTTTTTTGTCGTGTCGTGACCATCGGTGATTACGACTCTGAATCACACAGTGTGTTCTCTTGCTCTGCCAACTAGGCCACTGTATGACAACGACGATGTATAAACATGATATGAAGATGAAATGTTGGACAATTAATTTTAAATTAAGTGGAATACTAATAAACATGTTTTATGAAGATGACATATTTTGTTTGGACAATGTAAAACATATATATAAATATGTCTCTGGGGTACTAAGAACAATTTAGTAGATCATTCTTGAAATTTTCTTATATATATCAACTAGCAGAGCCAGAATTTTGAGTCTTGTGGGACGAATGCCTTCAAAAAAATGAGGGGGCCGATAATGCAATTATATATAATCTTTAAAATAAAATTATATTAAATAATAGGATTTGAGAAATATTTGGGGGGCCATGACCCCCTCGCTCTAAGCTGGCTCCGCCAGTGTATATATTTCTTCTATAACATATATATTTGCCTTCAGAATCTGTGTAACTATTTTATGGGGAAATTTATCTTCAATTATATTTGAAGTTTTTGACTTCTTTTAGATTTTTAATGACAGGTCGAGGAATACCTAGCAAAATATAATATAGTAGATCTAGTAATCTATCATTGACTAATACACATAAAATTAATTAATAGGAGCTAAAAGTCTAACTTTGCAACTATATATCTTTAGTTTTTGCACAATTGTGGGGGATTTGCAAAACTTTTGTAATAAATTAATTTATTACAATATTTCTACTTGTTTAATTTGTAAGATGTTGTTTTAGTTTCTCTTAAAATTAATTTTAATCAAGTACTATGTATATAGTTGATAAGTTTCACTTGCTTATTAAGCAAGTTTTTCAAAAGGTACTCACTTTTTTTTTTCTTGTCTTTTTAGAAAATTAAAACAACATATTTCCTACATTACTTATTGGTTGAGGATTAGAATATAATGTAACTTTGTTATTCATTAATAATCACATTGATAGAAGAATAAATAGGAGATTAAAGAAAGAAGTACAGCTAAACATCTATAAATTAATAGAGATGTGACTAGCAAAATACTACTAATTTAGCGAAATATTAAATTATCGAGTTAGAAATTTAACACATTGTCACCGAGTTTGGACCAGAAAAAATTATTAATTAAGCGATGTTATTAATTTATCGAGATTCTACTGTATATATATGATATTGATTTAAAATACATTTTCTCAATCAATTCATTAAAATAAAAATCATTCACTCAAAAAAATTGCCAGCCCACAATTCATCCTAAATTGGTTGGAACCATCACTTTCAAATGTGCCTTCAAATGAGGCCAGTTGGAGCATTCATATTTCATGCATTTAATTCATTTAAAGCTTCTCAACTACTCATCGTCAATTAGGAGAGAATTTAATTAAAGTTCAGGCCACCATTTTTGCCCAATTAATTATGTAGCTCACTACTTTATGTTGCTCTTTTGCACCTTTAAATTTATGATTATATATTAATTAATACATCATTTAATTTACCTTATACTACTACCTAATTAAGTGTCTTCTTGTGATTTAACAACTTTATACTTCAATATTATTTTAAGAAAATAACTATAGATTAATTAATTAAACGATCTTTAATCGACTTTTTAAACATTCAAGAAACATAAACCGTTGTAGTTCTTTTATTTTTTTATAATTTTTTTTTTATTATAAATCTTTCCACTTAGTTTAATCATTGGATTCAAAAGCGAACGTATTTTTTACATGATAAATTAAATATTTATATATATGAAGTATGTAGACGAACGGTTACGGTATAAGCTCGGTGAATGCTTCACCGAGTGTACGTAGATTCGATCGTTTTTGCAAGAAATAATAAGGTGAAATGGCAAGAAAATATCATAATAATACATAAATTTCTTCAACTTTATACATCAACAATGGAGTTAGTACATCAACCAAATATTAAATAAAATTTTATTAATATTAATACCCTAGTAGCCCTAATACAAATCATCTAAAATCCCAAAAAAAATAAGTAATAACCAATAAAAAACAAAGGGAGAAAAAAAATAAAGAAATAATAATTCCTCGAAACCCCTATAATAGTGGAATTTACCGATATGACCTCAAAATGGAACCACAGAAAGTGCAGATAATAGCCCTCCAAGTTTTCCAGTAGAAGGGCACATAGCAAAACCTGGTGGCGGTTTTCATGTCGGCGACGCTAGCGCCGCCGCCGCAGCGGGAGCATATTCCGGCGGCCGGTTTGCTCTGCCTCACCTTTCTTGTTTGATCAACTAGGAAACAGAAGCAAACCATTTTTTTTTTTTGGTTTTTGGATGTAAGAAGAAGAAATTGTACAGTGTAAGAAGAGTGTGTATGTTGGGTGTGAAGTTATGGTTTTATTTAGTAGAGAGATGTGGAGAGTATTTATAGGCGCTGGAGTTATGGGTCGAGTGTTGCGGGGGTGATGCTTCTTCCGTTGACTTTTCTTTAAATTCATTTTTATATTACGAATTTCTTTATGATATTATAATAATTATTTAGATAGCTTTAGGATCTCAACACTATGAAACAATTCCTTCACAAAAAAAAAAATTAAATAAATAAAACACAACGTATTATAAATATTTATTTTTATAGCAAATATACTATCACGTTGTGTTTATAAAGCGCATTTCAATATATATATATATATATATATATATATATATATATATATATATATATATATATATATATATATATATATATATATACCGAGG